CATTACATACATTACATACATATACATACAGACAGACATACATACATATATATATACATACATACATACATACATACATATATATACATACATACGTATATATAACTATATATATATATATATACACACGCGAAAATGTACATTACATTGCATACCAGTAGTACCGCACAAAGCGGCGGCGGAAGTTTCAGAAATACGAAACCTATAGGAGAGGTTGGTTGTTGTGAGTCACGGATGGCAGGGCGAATCCACTGATGGACCGAAAAATGGTTGCAATGGTTGCAGTGGTCACCTGGTCGGTCACCTCACCCACAACTGCTGGACGTAGTGTGGTGTTGTGCAGCTGTAGTTCTAGTTGTAATGTAGTAGGGTTGTAGTTGTGGTGTATTGTAATTAGTGTAGTGTGGTTGCAGTTGTGTAGTGTAGTCTAGTGTAGCCTAGTGTAATGTATCGTAGTTGTAGTTGTAGCTGTAGTTGTAGTTACTGTAGTGTAGTGTGGTGTGGTGTGGTGTAGTGTGGTGTAGTGTGGTGTAGCGTAGTGTAATGTAATGTAATTTGTGTAGTTGTAGTTGTAATTGTAGTTGTAATGTAGTTATAGTTGTAGTTTGTGTAGTGCAGTGTAATTGAGTGTACTTTAGTGTAGTGTAGTGGAGTGTAGTGTATTGTAGTTTAGTGTCATGCAATTAGCGTAGTGTAGTGTAGCGTAATGTAGTTGTAGTTGTACGAGTAGTGTAGTGTAGTGGAGCGGAGTGTACTGTAGTGGTGGTTGTAGTTGAAACTGCTACAAAACCCTCACGTTTTGCTCACTTTTGACAAGGTGCAGAATCCCTTCTGCCTGCCACGCAAAACGACATCCGAACGTCCAAAAGTGCTCCGTACCCCGCAGTTTTGACTCCAACATGTGCATCGCGCCACAACAGCGCACTTTTTCGACATGTCAACTTCCAAAAATGCTCCGAGACCGTCAGTTATTTGACTTTGAAATGTGCTTTGCGCCACAACGGCGTGCACTTTGTGAGCATGTCAACTTCCAAAAGTGGTCCGAACATGGTGTGCCTTATAGATTTTGACTTGGACATGTGCTTCGCGCCACAACGGCGTGCACTTTTTCGACATCACAACTGCCAAAAGTGGTCCGACGTTGGTGTGCTTTGTACATTTTGACTTGGCATCTGACCACATGGCTCCGCACCCGCCGCTTTAGCGAGCCTACTTTTCGAACCTACGGAGCCACAAATCATTGGGAAAACACAATGTTTCGCCTCTTTTCTACCTTTTCGCGCGCCTGCATCTTCTTTCTTCTCACTCTTTCTCTTCTCTGATCTTCTCGCTTCGGCTCTTCTCCTCTCTGACTCTTCCCACCTCTGCTTTTCCATCTGTCCATATTGTCGGAAGTTGACTTCCAAACTTCCTTCGACAAACATACTCTTGGATTAAAGATTCGAAAATCCCACAGAATATGTGTGTGTATATTATTTATATATATATTTATTTATTTATTTATCATATACGCACATACTCTAAGGTGATGACCCCATGAGCATCCAACAAATCCATCTGCCAGGCTTCGTGATGTAGGAGGGCTTGGTGAAGCAACAGCAGTGTCCGCTGGTGCTGTGTGCGTGCGCCGTCTCCTGCATGTAGGCCCCGGTCCACCAGGGAAGACCCTCGCCCCCGTTGGTCGTGGTGAAGGCGTCATCGTGGAGTTCCAGAAAGACATAAACGTTCTGCTCAGCAAAGGCCTGATCAACAAGGCCTGATAACTCTTTGGGATCTGCACAAGGCTTTGCCCCAAAAAGCTCCAACACTTTGTAAAGTTGTCAGGTTCAAGACTTAAAAAAAAACAGCATGCAGATTGCCTCACTTCAATTTGATGTAAAAAATACGTTATTCAGTAGAAGAACATGCAATATTCATTCTTCATGTGTCATATTCCTAGTTTTGACTGATGAAATATCAATTTTGCTTCAAAAAATAAACCCATCTTTAAGGACAACCCCAAATAAATCGATCCATCAACGCCCACTAGTCCCCACTAATCATCATCACAAAAAATATCCATCAATCACTTAATCATGTGTGCATGCGTATGTGTGTATACAAATATATACACATTGCTAAAACATATTCAACTAGTGATTTTTGCCAGCAAAAAACAGGCACCAATGCGCCTTAATGGTGGTTTCCAAGTTGGCTGCCCAGGTTGGATCGATGGGCCCCGCTTTGTCGGGCATGGAGCCCTCCCAGAGGCAGCCCAGGCGCACGCAAGGCTTCACGCAACGGGCCGAGCCATCGGCTGCAGGAGGCGGCTTGTAGAGCATCTGCTCAGCTCCTGGGGCATTGGTTAAGTTAGTTAAGCTAGGTTAAACTAGTTAAGCTAGCTAAGTTGGTTGATTGCACTGATCTTTCATCGTTGGGTCTATGGTCTATGTGTGTGTGTATATATATATATATGTATGTACATATATAGATAATATAGACATTTAAATGGATGATGGCATAAGATAAAGCAACTTATGGCCGGGGGGCTAGTTAGCTAAGTTGGTTTGACTTGGGCCTATGGCAGATGTATCACTTCACGGGGTTTTAATCGACCAACACACGGGTGAACGGGGCACACAAAAATGGTGGGATGGGCCGATTCATGGGCCTTCATAAAGGTTTATGTTTGTTTTTTGCCAACAAACATGTTGGATGGTCTAAAAATAGGTTACCCCGAAATTGCACGGTTTATCATCAGTTTCCTGACATCAAAATGGCGATGGCAACTGGGACAGTTGAACATCGATCCATGAAACCCCCACTGAATCTCCCTTCATCCGTGAAACAAAAACAATGAATCCGCAATAATCACCATTAATCCCCATTGATCCACACTAATCCCTACTAATCCGCATGAGAATCACCGTTAATCCCTACTAATCCACCATTAGTCACCATTAATCCCTCATGAATCAGTCACCGCTGAACTCTCTTCCCATTCGTCCTTGTGACATCTCCAAGGCATCGGCGGAGACCACCTCTTTGGGCGGAAAATAGGGGGGTCCCTTGATGACATAGTTCCCACCCATCAGCACCACTTCCTGGTCGCCCAGCTTGAAGACTCGCTCACCTGGCGAAAGGAGGAATGTCCAGGGAAAAATGCTGGGTTTACCGAGGAATCCCGGAAAAATTGATGGTTTTTTACCGCAGAACTTTGGGGAAAAAGCAGGAAAAATGGTACCCAACATAAATGGGGAATCATAGAGAAAAATGAACGATTGGCGCAATATGAGCAGAATAGGGTTGCTTCACTCTCGGACACTGGAGAAGTAAAGGCTAAAGAAAGAGAGGATTGTGGAATGCATTGTAAACATACCGATAGTAGTTGAAACAACCCGGCAGTGTTGCCAAATTCTCTGAGCACCTCAGGAACTCAAATCAGGGGGGTCCCCGCATTGGTTGTGCGAGGCCCAGCTGAAGAATAAACAGCATTGACATATGTGCTTTCTAGGATCCAATCCATACATGTGTAACTAACTAGTTCTTGACCATCAACTGGAACAATGCGATAAATCTGATGGAAGAAAGATTGAATATCTAACTTCCGCGTTACGGATGGCAATGGATGTGCAATGGCTGTCAAAAAGCGATGGATGTCACAAAGCAATGGAAGTCACAAAGCAATGGATGTTACAAAGCAATGGATGCCATAAAGCAATGGATGTCACAAAGCAATGGATGTCACAAAGCAATGGATGTCACAAAGCAATAGGTGTCACAAAGCAATTGATGTCACAAGAGCTATGGATTCCACAGAGCAATGGATGTTACAAAGCAATGGATGTCACAAGGTAATGGATGTCACAAAGCAATGAATGTTGCAAAGCAATGGATGTCACAAAGCAATGGCTGTCACAAAGCAATGGATGTCACAAAGCAATGAACGTCACAAAGCAATGGATGTCATAGAGCAATGGATGTCACAAAGCAGTGGGTGTCACAACGCAATTGATGTCACAAGAGCTATGGATGCCACAGAGCAATGGATGTCACACCGCAATGGATGTCACAAAGCAATGAACGTCACAAAGCAATGGATGTCACAAGAGCTATGGATGCTGCAGAGCAACTGATGTCATAGAGCAATGGATGTCACAAAGCTATGGGTGTCACAAAGCAATTGATGTTACAAAGCAATGGATGCCACAAAGCAATGGATGTCACAACGCAATGGATGTCACCAAGTAATGGATGCCACAGAGCAATGGATGTCACAGCAAAGGGATGTCAAAGCAAAGGGATGCCAGAGCAAAGAGATATCAAAGCAAAGGGATGCCAAAGCAAAGGGAGGTCAAAGCAAAGGGAGGTCAAAGCAAAGGGATGTCGAAGCAAAGGGATGTCAAAGGAAAGGGATGTCAAAGCAAAGGGATGTCAAAGCAAAGGGATGTCAAAGGAAAGGGATGTGAAAGCAAAGGGATGCCAAAACAAAGGGATGTCAAAGCAAAGGGATGTCAAAGCAAAGAGATGTAAAAGCAAAGGCATGTAAAAGCAAAGGGATGTCAAAGGAAAGGGAGGTCAAAGCAAAGGGAGGTCAAAGCAAATGGATGCCAAAACAAGGGGATGTCAAAGCAAAGGGAGGTCAAAGCAAAGGGATGCTAAAACAAAGGGATGTCAAAGCAAAGGGATGTCAAAGCAAAGGGATGTCAAAGCAAAGGGATGTCAAAGCAAAGGGATGTCTAAGCAGATAGGCTGATTTTTCATAACTTGAACTTTCAGACTTTGAAGGATGTCTCGCACGAAAGCTTCGTTTTCACATTTGCCACTTTCAGATTTTGAAGGACGTCTCGCACGAAAGCTTGGTCCTCATATCTTCAACTTGCACTTTTTGAGGGATGTCTCGCACGAAAGCTTCGTTTTTCACATCTTCAGCTTTCACTTTTTGAGGGACGTCTCCCACGAAATGCGTTTTTGAGAGATAGCGGATGCACGAAATGCTGCGTTTTGCAGGACAAAACGTGTCCCGGAAGATGGATGGGGAAGCTTGTCCAGCGGACGGTTGCGGAACACGTTCGTGGCCGGATCATGGTCAGATCGGAGTGGAGAAGAGTTGAGAAGAGCCGCGAAAATCTGAGAGAAGCTGAGATGAAAAGAGATGAGAAAAGCTCAAATGACATGAGAAGAGAAGAGAACAGTCGTGATCAGCTGAGAATAGCTGAGAACGGGAGAGAAGACATGAGATGGGATGAGGTGAGATGCGGTGGAAAAAAGGTGAGAGGACATGAGGTGAGTTAAGATGAGATGGGAGACACAGAGTGCGGTGACAGTGGGATGCAGTGAGCAATTTCCAAGAGAAGCTGCGATGCGATGAAATCAGACGAAATGAGAAAAGATTCAACATTCAAAAAACATGGCATCAGATTGAAAGTCGAGAGCTTGTTGCTGCGAAGCACAGGAGTCTTGTCTGTCACCTATAGGCACGGCCTTTGCTCCACTCTATAGGCTATAAGCGTTTCAATTTTGAAACTTCCGCCCCCGCCTTGCCCGGGTACTACTTGTAAACCCATTTTCGTAACCGCCAACTGGAATAATATGGTAAAACCGATGATAGACCCATTGTCCAGCCATTTTGTTGCTGTAATTTGTTTTATCCCAAATTTCAGAGTATACCCAAGTTCATCAGCCAAAAGTTCGGATGGAAAACTATAGGGTTTATCACATCATTCCCATTATATTCCCATCAGGTTACCAGTACCATACTATTGGTTGTAATTATATATCTTTATATTATATTGTAGATATCTATATACATTTATTATATATATATATTTTTTCTCTAGATTTCTCATCATCGTATCCCCATTACTTCCCCTTATCACGGCCCACCGCCTGCACTGCCCATGGCTATGGTGATGCGCTTTGGATGGTCCGCACCCTGCAGCAACGGCGCAGCGCTGGCGGCCGCCATGGGATTTCCGCTGGACGTCTCTCGCCGCTGGAGTTAGAACGTCCGAGGATGAGCCGCGCTGCAGATTCGACAATCCTCAAAAACCAGAGGAGATCACGAGGATTTACCCCGGAATGGGGGAACTCATGATGATTTCAGATTGAAAAATACCAACTTTAAGAGACATGGATAACTCAAATAGTTATTGTCGGATGGTATGGTAGAGTCACCCCCCTATGGAAAAGGGGCAACGTGATGGTCCGCCGGTGAAACCAGCTTGCACGACACCAAAAGAGGTTGGAACTTGAACCTGTAATCAGTGTAATCCATTCAAAGTGGTCCAGCTGACGATTGGTGGATGGGATTTTCGCGTGGCAGCGGCTGGTTGTTGTGGATTAAACATCCTTCAACTTCAATGATTCAAAGGTGTACATGTGAAGCTAAGATTCCCAGTGAAATCTGCTTCAATACTTCAGTTTCAACTTAGTTTCTACTTAATTAAGTTCTTACCATCAAACATCCCCATTGCAACGATAATAACAACACGCATTGCACCAAGCACCAGGGGCGTGGCGCCCCGGGAGGCCTCAACTGGGAGTCGGGTCCACTGAGCGGTGATCCGAAACAGCACCAAACTTGACTGCTGCTGTCTTGATGGTCTTTGATTTACAGCTTCAAATCTACTAATTCCTTCAGTTTGTTTGAAGACTTGGCACTGGTTCATTTCACTCAATAGATCGTACTTGGCAAGGCCACCAGCAGAACTGAGTTGATTGCTTAGGGAACTCATTTTCATCTGCTGTCACTTGCATTGCAATCCACCCGTTTCACCTTGCTTCGTGATCAGAATGATCTTTCTCGAAACCATCTCCACCCGTCCTTCAGGGATCCAAAACAGCGTAGCGGCACAGCAGTTTTTGGATTCGGCGATGACATCACTCACCGCAGTGAGTGCTGCTTTTCGTGGCATATGGATCCTAAATTTTACAGGGAAACAACGGGCCGCTCGTTCTGTGTTCGGCGACCAATTTCAGTTCGAGTCAGCAACCTGAAGCAAGATGGCAAGATGGGTCTGTCCAGGGAACATTATGGGAAAACATAATGGTACTGTGGGAAAACCAACAAGAAACCATCCCCAAAATCCTCATAAATTGGTGGTATATACCATGCCCAAATGGTAGGTTTAGAAATTGGGTTGCCCGTTCAAGTGGGACTACCCAATTTCAGACAAGCCCATATCGAGAGAGAGAGAGAGAGACCCTTCAAGAGTCTTTTTGAGCAGGGTATCATCTATTTTCCCCTTTCATAGCTAGAAATTAACACTATTTTCAGCAACCCTTCACGAATACGCTTAAAAAATCTCTACTCAATCTCCAATATTATCCCATATCTCACAACCTACCCTAGTACCCAACCAATGATAGATACTACCCTAAGTATATGCAGGTTTATACTGCATGGCCAGAGGACCTAGGGGTACCCATGGACTCACCAAATTAACATGTCTTTTTGCCAACACCTTTTTTGAGGTGGAAGTCAATTCAGACCATCCCTGAGAAAACACACCAAATTTATTCTCCTTGTTGGGTTTGCCACTGACCACTTATCCCTGTAAGATCATGCCCCCAAGAGATGGTCGGTACTGCACAAGATTCATGACTCTATGGTAACCGTTGATACAGTGTATTGTAGTGGCTCAGCTCTAGTGTATTATGCTTTAGCAACTACTCATGGATATTGTTTACTTTCTTCCGCGTTCGCATCTTTGCAGGGCTAAATTGCTGACTGAAATTGGGTACCCCCAAATCCCATGGATCAGCATCTGGGGTCCATGGCATTTCGTCCCGTCCCATGAGAATCCAAACATACATCCTTATTAAATTGGACTAATCATTTCCATTCCCACAGATCTAAAGCATAGTTTGACCATAGCACGGAAAAATCGGGGTTTCTTAGATCCCCAAGTCACCATGGCACTCAATACTCCATGGTCATCCACTTGGATCAACCCTGGTCATAAGTCCCCAACCATTTAAATGGAAACCATTGTAGCTGGATTCTCCAAGAAGTGCACCTCTTCATTCATCTTCTGCAGAGCCTATGCCATCAGCGGCATGGATCAAGGTGAGTCATTTCTGCTGGGTCAATGAGGGGTAGTTTATTGTTTTGGGGTTACCATTTACCAGGTTGTTTCTTGGAAAAATGCAATGGAACTTTGAAGCGGAACTCAAGTAATGTGATCAACCCAATTGTAGACTTGTAGACCATACCCAATGTTTGCCAGAAATGGATGGTATAAACTATGCCCAGCTGTTAGGTTTATCATTGGGTTTACGACATCAGGGCTGGCAGATTCCAACCCGAAACCACCACTGACCCCGGAGGGGGTGACTGTGTTCACCAGGATATACCATACATATCGGTATAGTAACCCCCAAAATGCATCGAAAAACTGGACATCGGAAAATATTGGGGGGGCACATCATCGAACTAACATCCTGGTTGGTGTAAAACAACCCTTATATCGGTGTCGTTTATGGCATTGGATCATTGTTGTCGGTCATTGTTGGTTATAGCCATCAAGGTTTACTCTGTAAATTCTAATAATAGTTGTAGGCATTGCACTATCAATACATTTATGCTATTCTATTCATACCGCTCTTTGGCTGTCTTATATACCAGTTGTAGTTTCAAAATATACTGGGATCTGTGGCAAAAAAACGTCGACATCGCCGTATTTCCATGTTCTTCCCATGGTTGATAATCATCAAAACTGCCATAAATTCAACCCATTTCCCAGCACATCCCACCTTAGCCTTGTCCCATTTCATCCTTGTTGCTTTTATCCCCACAAAAGAACCATGAAACATGATAGAGCACGCCCCAAATCCACAGGATGCTCATCATTTTCCCCCTTTCATTTCAATAGCCATAAATCAGGCTAAATCCGAGCAATTTTCAGATATACCCATTGGGTTTACCACGACAATTTTAGCAATAACAACATTCAATATAATAACCATAAGTAGAGGAAAATTAAAGGACCGGACAAACCCACATGTCAACTTTTTCCAATAAGTCAAAAAAGAAAGGTGAAGACGGAATGGGAAAGGCAGGAAAGAGACACGAACTGGTGAAAGGTACGTATGAAAGACTTGCGTGTGAGAGAGCTGCTTGTATGTCTGTATGTGTGTATGTGTATGCATGTATGCGTGTATGCGTGTATGCGTGTCTGCATGTATGGATGTATGTATGTATGTATGTATGTAGGTATGTATGTATGTATGTATGTATGCATGTATGTATGTGTGCGTTGTGTGGCGACACACAAAACATGCCTCACACCATGACAACCGGCGAGCGGCAAGAGACAAGGAAATTTCAGTGACAACACAACATGCAAGGAAGTTCCTGGCCAAACGCGATTCGCTCACACCTGATGGTGATCAAAGAAATTTCTGCAAGTCATGACAAAGCGTAACTTTCTGGATCTTGCAGACACGTACCTGGCAAGCAAAACGTGTATTACCATGCAAGGGTATAAGGCACTGAACGTGCTTAACCTTCTAGTTCTTGGAGATCTTACTGACAATATGACCTCCACGTATGGTGAGTAACACCTCGTGCGACAAGATCTGACGCAAGTACCTACCACGCAAAATATTCACTGAAAAGCAACACAAGAAGCAGCTCAGTACCACAAGTGCCACGCCTGCCACACAAAGTGAAGGTCGATGTCTCCAAGTACGACGCCTGCCACTCAAACAGCCGCGGCGACAACAGCGTCAAATGGGACCCAAGCGTGCCACCAGAGCCAGCACAGTGCCATAAGTGCCACGCCCACCACGCAAAGTGAAGGTCGATGTCACCAAGTGCCACGCCTGCCACGCCAAGTGAAGTTCGATGAGGCGAAGTGCCACGCCTAGTTGTGCGTCAGTAAGTTGTGTGTGTGTGAGTAAGTTGTGAGGAGCAGTTGTGTGTGAGCAAGTGGTGTGTGAGTAAGTTGTGAAGAGGAGGCGGCGGGAGGAGGAGGCAGGCAGGCAGGCATGCAGGCAGGCAGGCAGGCGGGAGTACACAACCAAAAACAAGAACCCCGTGGGGAACAAATGTATAAAGTAGATAAAATCCTAAATACATAGCAATTAAAACACGACATACGTCGTGGCTTTACCACACCAGACGCCGACCTTTCCGCGCCTGCTGCAGGCGGCACCCACAACTCAAAGATCTTCCCTGGCGAGCAGCCCTCAGAGCCTCAGAGATGGAGAATGACTCTATGAAAATAAATAACAATGGGGATACAACAAATGAACAAGAGGAATCGTGGAGAATGATTGCAGCATTTCTCAGATAGAGAATGACTATAATCATGGAGAAATGGATAATAATTATTATCCATAATATCATATAGTTAATAACCCAAGAAGCCAACTACACATATTACCCTCTGGTAAACTAACATAACTATGGAAATCACAATTTTTAATGGGAAAACTCACTATACATGGCCATTTTCTATAGCTTTTTGTATGTTTACCAGAGGGTACTCTCCGGTAATCAAACATCGTTTTTCGTGAACAATGACCCATTGAGTGAACGATGATGTTCCCAGAAACCTCCAGCAACTGATCAGAGATTTCCCAGCCATGTTTGCGGACACCGGAGGATTAAATCCTATAAGAATGGAGAAATGTAAATTCATAGGGATAGTCCCAGATCTAACAAGAAACTGTTGCGGAATATAATGGATTGCCGATCTGGTAAATATGGGACTATTGTGGGATTAGAATCCGGATATAAATGAAATATTTAGAGACTGAAAGGTTTTTGTGACGTTTATACGTTTCCACAGTTGTCTGAGCATTAGTTTGAGATTTTTCTAATCAATTCAGAAACGAAGCTGAACGTTTGTGACGTACTAGTGAGGCTTTGATTTACCGAAACTCTTGCACCAATGGCTATTTAGAATATCTATGATAGTTGACGCTCCCAAACGATAGGTTAATGGTTCAATAAACCTACAAAATAAGGATCGTTTGGAAGGCGCCGATGCGCCCTCTTGGATTTCAGGTGATCAAATATGGATGGCGATTCAACATCGTCCCCAGTAGAATTGCCACAGTTTAGGGCCGAAATGAAACACAAAAAGTATAATGATCACGTTTAGAAACAAGACTTGGAAGCTTCACAGCTGTCAGGACCGCTTTCATCCAACTGAAGTGGAAGCCCATTCTGAAATCGGCCTCTTGGTGACGTCATGGGATCTCCAAGGTAACAAAAGCTATAATGGCAAACCCGATACTAGGGGTATATCCAGTAATAAAACGTAATAAAACCTCTATTGGCGATGGTTTATTATTGGCTGTCACAGTACTTGATTTCAACATCTTTGTGGCATCCACTTCTTGATCTTGCATTCTTGTTGGCTACACAGCCACAATGGCTTTCTCTGAAAATAGTCGATCCCACAATCGCGTGAAAATCTAACATGTTCTCCATAGCCAGAAAATGCTGCCAAATCACCCCAAAGCTGGTGCTCCCTCGTTATATGTTGGTCTATAACTCCATCGAAGTAGTTCGATAGATCCAGAACTCCAACAGGTCATCGACTTAGGACCGCCAACATCCAAGAAACAAATGTCGCTGGCACGTTCAAACTCCTCTCTGATCCGCGCAAAGCCTGGGCATGGCGCCCCCGTAAATCTAGTGGGGTTTAAGCCTAACGTGGTAAAATGCCATAAATTGGGATCATCACAACTAATTCACTAGAATTGCAGGGACTTTCCCATGATCATCGGACTGGCTGAACATCATGCATTCAGAGAAAAAAAGAAGCAAAAAAGGCACAGCTTTCTTGGGTGGCTTGTTGATCCCCGACCAAAAATTGACAACTTCTAGTGGCATCCACTATCCACACACAAATAGATTATGTTCACCCATCAATCCCCAAACAGGTAAAATCGAGTTATGTATTCTATTTTAGACACTTGAATTGTAGCAAGATTTGGATCTAACTGGATGTGCATCCCAGTCAATGAGTGGCTCAGAATCATCTCAGAAAAGCCCGGAAAAACCGTGGAATCTTCCCAGTTGGATCCTGAATCCAGTGGCTAATTACATCATTTCCCTAGTAGTCTAGAAACCTGGGGTACACATGCGCATACATTTGTATCTTGTATACATATATATATATATGTGTACAACCATAATAATATATATATATACATATTTACATACAATAATATATAGAGATGGATTATATACATGGTATCTGATCACCACTTACTGGGTCTCGCACAGCTATTTGTCCGCCATTTTCCACGCCCGAGTAACTGCTATTGGAGACGCGTCGGCCCAAATTGCAAGGCCGGAAGGGGTCCTGCCGACAGCCCAATGGGGGCCGTGTTTTTGTTGGTGATACCCCAATGATGTGTTGGTTACAATCTCCATATACCCAATAAAAAATCGTTTTGTTGGCTATACGACCAGCAAATTCCAAGAGGTATCCTTTAAATCAACGTTACTTGGCCAAACTCAAATACAATAAATCGAATTTCTAGCTGGCTATGTCAAT